ATGCAAAACATCAACAGAATACATTATGAACAGACAAGGTTAATAATCATAACAATATGCATGGACAAAAAAATGAAGTCAGCAACCATTTAGAAGTGCTAATTCATGAATCCAAAAGCAAGTTTCCACATTTCCACAGAAGGTGTCAAGAGGTGATGTATATATTCTTTAGGATATCCACTAGTTTCAACAACTGCCCAATCAGCAAACTGTAGAATCCCTCGTTCACCACGAAATCACTATTCCAAGGCAGTCGCAAAAACCACAATAAATAGTATACAGCTGCATGCAACAAGACCAAAGCTGGTGGAAGACCAGAACCCAGAGATTCGAAGGAAGATTCTTCAACCCTATGGACCCGAAACATCATCATTTCCTTTTTTGAAGCATATGAGCATTGTTGCTTCTACTTTTCTTCAAACCCACCAACCCCCCCCCCTCCCCCCCCCCCCCCCCCCCCCCCCCCCCTTCTCTCTCTCTCTTCCAACCTCCCTCCCTCCCTACATCAGTACAAGAGGCTCTTAGACCCTTTTCAGATGCAACCAAATAGCTCAATGCTGAACACTCGCTGAATAGGCCATAAATGACGCAGGACACAAAACAAAAGTGGCCAGAACAAAAAACAACATGAACAAGCAATCTTATAACCAGTTTTACGCCAAAACAAAGAATTCTGGACTTTTCCATCAGCATATAGCAAGATTAATAACATTGCTACCAACCCTAACCAAAACCAACTTGAATCAGATTGTAGGTCTATGCAAGACCAGTTCTGCCTGCATAAAAGAATATAGAGGGCTGGTCTGTATCCACATCTATATCTACATATCACTAATATTTTGTCATCGGCATCAAACTTTATTACCATGATTATACTGCTACAATTATGGAATCACGAGGGTTTTTTTAATAAGTGGAACTACAAAGTCGATCATAGTGAGTAGCTTTAGAATTAAAAAGGTTTAATAAAGCAGGACTAAAACTGAATATATAATAAGTAGAAATACAAGTTAGGGTCGAAAGAAGATTGAGGGTCAAGAAATGCCAAAAATAAACATTTTCATTACCTAAGCTTGATTAATGATTAAGCACAAAAAAGGAAAATTTTTGAGATGATATCAAGTACGCAATTAAAGATGGTTAGAATAAATGGATGACTGCTTTTGGAATACTGTGTGATTTATGTATACCTCTAAAATTGAAAAGTAATTTCTATCAAATAGCTATTAGAACAATCATACTTTATAGGATAGGAATAAAATGTTGGGCAGCTAAAAAAATACAGTTCAAAAAAATGATTATAGCAGAGTTATGATTGTTGCGATGGATGTCTGGCAAGACAAAAAATTATAATATGATAGACAAAACATTCATGAAGTGGTTGAAGTAACACTAGTTGGAGATATAGTAAAAGAAAATCAATTAATATGGTTTAGTCATGTGCAACGACAAGCCAATGACAGATATATTCGCCCAAAAGGAATAATAATATGGTCTTGATGAGGAAGATGCTTAAGAGAAGGGAAAGATCAAAACTAATAGGTTGAGATAGTTAAGAAAGATATAACTTGTAGTTTAGATAGTGATATAAGCTTAGATGGACCAGAATGGCAAGGAAAAATATAATGTAATGGTTTAACCGAGGCTTTCTTTAGTTGAGTTAATACTCCTACATGACAGGCAACCACACTCCATTAAAATTCCAGAATATCAATTACCCTATTAGTTTCAGACAAACACAACCAAATAAAGTATGGCTGCTTTAACCATTCGTGCAGATTAACAAGACTCCCTCTCTCTCTCTCTCTCTCCCTCCTCCCGGTGTGTATCTGAGGTGGGGGGAGAGAGACTAACTTGATCATAAATGAGAAGCATGTCTTCCTATGTGAGGACTAGCCAGTTGCTCTTGCAATGAAACTAAAATTAAAAGACTTATAGCAGAAGACAGCTATAAATTTTGCTCAATCTGTTTTAAAATCCTTCATGTGTGCTCTAAGCACTGAGAACACCATTAAGTAAAAGAATTATGTAGAGAATGGAGCTAAGATTTCAAACTCTCTTTCTTAAAGATTGAAGATTAAATTAGTTCACTGAATTTATTTAAACCTGGTCATTTATTAAATCCTGCTGTTACGCATTTTATTTGATCAACATAGACGCATATAAAACCACTTAGAATCCAATTAGAAAGAACAGTTATAAACAACTCAGAATGCTGACAATTTCTTCCATAATTCTGGCAACATAATGACATTTTTTAGGCAAGGCCACACAACCATCTGTAGCACTGCCCACGGAATGGACACCCACCAAGTAACGGGAGCTAAACACAACTACTGATGGATCTCAATAAACAAAATATTAAGATTAATAATATTCAGGTTGTAAGAAATGCTGACAAATGTTATTCAGAGATGGTTCACATAAATTTTATTGCATATTTGTAACTTAAAAAATATTTTATTGAAACGAACCTCATATTGCACCTCGGCAGCCGAAATCTCAGGAAGCATCCCTCTATTTTCTTCACTGAAGAGTTCAGTAGTCATTTTACTCCGCCGCGTAGCACGGTCTTTGGCTGCAAGACGAGGATCCTTCAACTTACTACTGGGACCATCTTCAGCACGTAAATCCACTACCTCCACTCCTGGCTTCACCTTCTTCCCCTTTGGAAACCTCACTCTCTTTTGCCTGTATACAATCAAATCAAATATCACAACCGAATCAAAACCCAAATCACCTATAAATTATCACATTTAATTCAAGAAGCAGAAACAAAAACTTTTGAATAAACCAATAGATTGGTTCTTTAATCTGTTATCTCATAAAGAAACGGATTAGCAATACATGAGCCCTGGGAAGAGTCTACGGGAAAATGGGTGGATAATAGTTAGAGAATAGAAACTAAGAATCCAAATTAGGGTTAAAGATACATAAATAATTGCATATATTTATATATGTAGATAGACATAAAGAAATAGGGGGAGAGAGAGAATTACGCAGGAGGTTTTTCGGAGTCATCGTCTTCAGGGAGGGAACGCTTCTTGTTGGCACGCGGTAGCTTTTCTTCCATGGCGGCACCGGAGAACAATTGGTGTCGAGTATACCTTCAGTCGCTGCGTCGCAGATATATATAGAGAGAGATAGTCGAGATTTATTTTTAAATCAAAACCGGCGGTCGGATAGAAGAGAATTGGGATAGTCTGCAGAAACTTTTATACAGGATCCAAATCATGGGTTTTGAATCTGCTGGCTGGGATTAGGGTCTTGCAAGTGATTTTTGAAATTTGTTGACAGATTCAGAGGAGTGAGGGAAAATTATGAAGGAAAAAGAAGGGGGATAGAGGAGAAAGTTGTGTGGGACTGAGAGGGACATGCGATGTCAATAGGGTGAGTAGGTTTTTCGTCGGTTAAAATTAATCCTTCAAAATATCATTTTTCATACTTATTTACTCGTATATATCACGCAACATTCCAAAGTTATCTTTGATATTTGTTTAATGGAACAATTAAAATAAATAGTTTTGATAATTTATTGCAATAAATTGATGTAATAATTAATTTTTTCTTTGATAATGATTGATCACTAAAATATGGAATACAAATATGACATTATATCTGTACAGCGATGCAAATAAATTTCAAAATATTAAAATATTAATAAATTTTATTTTTATGTATTTAAAAATATTAACTTTTTATCAATTCTTAAAAATATTATGAATCTAAATGCTATCATTATTAATTTTGTAAATGAAATAAAATTCTCTTTTCTTACCCCAAACACTTTCCCGCTTTTCCTTTTCCTTTTTTTTTCCTTATTTATAGCAATGACTTTCCCAAAAAAAAATTAAATTATTTTTCAAAATTTGAGTAATAATATTGAATAAATACTATTATTCTATACTGTTACCCAAATTTATTCCATAATAATTTATTCCGTATTAATTGATTCATGCATATGAAAAACCTATTATTCAAAACTATTACTCAAAATTTGAAAAATAAAATATATAAAAAAATGAAGACAAAAAATCTTTGTAATATACGCAAGAAGCATTAAAAATATTACTTCTTCAGATTCACTTAGCATCAATTTCATAAATATATCTTTCATTGAATAAAAACAATTTATTATTTAGCAACTTAAGATTTGACCATATAGATAATTTTGGAGTTTGAGAGAGATTGGCCAAATAAAAAAGGAACGCATGTAAAGAGTATTTTCTATAACTCAACCTTTTTTTTCCTTTCCAGAAAGCCGATGATTTTTTCTTGACTAAATAAAATTGTCATATTTTAAATTTGTGCCTTTTTAGTGTAATTAATTTGGTACTTTTTAAAATACCAAACTGAATGGTAGTTAACAATTATAAGAACATTTCGAGCAGTATGTTAAAACACACTCTTTTATGTAAAATATACAGTACCATGTATAATATGTAATTTTTTTTTTATTTTTTATCTCCAACAGTCTATTAAAATACACTGTTACATCACCGATATATAAAATTATTGTGTATTTTACACAACCTTTTACATTATCGTATCATTATATTTTCTTTATCCTCCCTAGTTATCATACCATTAATAAATCAACTCTATATTAAGTAGGTTTGTAAAAATTATGTTAGAGTCCAGACATGATACTGGTTGGTTGTTATTGAGGATATATTTTTACACAAAAAGTATAAAATAACCGCTGGAGCTAAAAATAAATAATCCAAAATTTTTGTGTAAATGTATTATGATACATCAGATTTACACAAATGCTCTAAGTGTTTTTATTAAAAAAAAAAAAAAAACCTTTTTAGAATTACATACTAAAGAATAATTAACAATTATGATTTAATGATAATATATATTTTTTAAAATATATAAAAAATGTTAAGAATAGAGAAAACTTCAATTCTTTCTTATAATATAGTAATATTTTTAAAGAAAAACATTTGTGTCCTTGAAATATTTCCCACAGAAGAAAGCGTTAAAAAAATAAATACCAATCAGGTTCATTTATTAATAACCCATTATTGTGCTTTAATGAGGTACGGGATACATTTGTGCTTTAATTAGTCTTTTTATATTTTAAAAAAATATATAAAATGTTAAGAAATTAGGAGAGGGGCTTACACTTTTAAAATAGTATAAATAGATATAGATATATATTACTTTTTTCTTTTTCTTTTTTATTTTATTTTATTTGACAGAAATTCACACATGCACTTTGTTCATTTGGAGGCTTAAATCATCACAATTCACTTTGGGAGGTCGAGACTACTAGACCACAAGGTCCTTGGTATAGATATATATATTAATTTCCTTCCTTGACCCTAAGGCAGAGGGTGATGGGCTTTCTTAAACATTTTGCTTTGTTTGGTATGAAGGAAAAAAATTGAATAGAAGGTAGAGAAGAAAAAATGACTGAGACATCCCTTGGGAAAAGATTAAGCGTTTATCTCTTTTTGTTCGGTTTAATAGAAGAGAATGAAAAAACTGAAACTGACAATTTAATTTGATATGTAGGATAAAAGGAAAGATAAATTTTTAATTTATTTCTAAAACTCTGCCAAGAAAGTGCAGCTTTACGTTTGATCCTATGTGACCAGAGAATGCTATGCGTTCTCCACTTTCGGATCTCGCAAAAAGAAAACGTATTTTGACCTCTGACTTTATCCCTCATTCTAGGAGCGAAGAAAGCGGGCTTTGCCCCCGTTACCGTTATCTGTGGGAAACCAAAAGAGCTACCGAAGGAAAGGGTTAAACACATTCCCTACTTTATTTATAAGATTTATTAAATATTTATGAAGAGTAATGTAGTAATTTAAAACTTACTTGTTTCTCTCCTATCTTTAATTCATATTTGGGCGAATGAAAATGTATGAAGGAGGAAGAATGACTTATCCTTCCTATTATCCTTTCTTTCCTTATATCATTTTTACCAAAATTTGTCCTTTTATTCCTATTTTCCTTCCACCCCTCTTATTTCCTTTCTACCGACCATAGACCATTCCCAATTCTTTAAATTGGGCCTTTTTTGATTGCCGTATCTTCCGGCCACCATGGTTATCAAGTTGAATGGATTAACCCTAATATGGCTCACGTGTGCTTTTGGTCCTTTCAGGTTTGTTTCACAACACATAAAACAAGTGTTATTGGTCATCACTTAATAAAATTTGAACTTTTTTTAACAATTATATTATGTTATTATTGTTATAACAAAAAATAAAAAATAAAAAATTATGTTATTATTGTTGGAAAAGTTACATTTTAATGTTAAAATTTGTTAAAAGTGTGTTATGAAGTGTCTGAAAAGTAGTTGAAATACTTAAGAAGTATCTAAGAAGTTTCGGATACGTAGTAAAAATTAAAAAATATATTTTAAAATTATGGATATATTTAAGAAGTATCGGACACGTATACGCAAGTATCCACGTATCCGAGTACGTTCCTCTCCTAGAAGTATCCGTACTTCCTAGCTAAAAAAGTAATCAATTACAGTATTTTTCTTCTTATCAAAAAATTTTAGGGTATAATGTATGGTAAATTATATCGAGGTCGAAGTTTGGTTAAATTATACTTATTAATAAATTGTTTAACATTTATTACTTTGAACTTTTTAAAAATTGACACGTGCCTAACGACACTTTTAGGATTTTCTTTCCAATAGACTTGTTCATCAAATTTTATAAAATGACAAATTTATTATTTTCTTAATCTAAAATGCAATATATATTATTATAATATAATAAAACAGAGGGGAAGACAAAGTAATAAAATGATTTATGTAATTTACTCAAAGGTCAGTATAATTTACTTAAAAATATTAACTATATAAAAATGCTTTTGTTTTTTCCTTTTTTTTTTTCAAAGGAAATAATGGTATAATCTATAGCTTGAATGGAGAACAAAAATATGTGTAGCTGCTATATAACGAGTAATTTGTTCGAACTTTTGGGGGGAAAATTCACATTGATGTCCAATACGTGTTATTACTGAGTTAAAAGTTAAAACTAGTATTAAGTTGTGCTTTGTGTGGTTGCTGGGGTTGTTTGGGTGGTGAATTTTGGGTTTATTACAGCTTTGGGAATTGGGGCTTTGGCGATGGTCTCACACGGTTGAGTGAGTTCACCAAGGCTCTTCTCTTCTCTCACAAAAATGTTTTAATCTCTCAATTATAAAGCATGCCATTTTGTGGTATTTGTACAAAAATGTTTTGATCTGTCCTCAATGGCAGAAACACATACATTGATTGTCTGAATCAAATTCGCTTCCAATAGTGTTGATCCTTATGAAATCAAACCTATCACAGAAGAGAGAGAGAGGGGGAATGTAGGGTTGTTATGTTATTTTAAGCAGCAGTGATACACTTACCGACACCCAACTAGTCACTCGTCAAGTTTTTTTTTTTTCTTTTTCATGGTAGGTCCCTATTTTTTCCGTGTGTAAGCAAGCATATACAAACACCCAACTTAACCGTCATTATTCCCCGGACTTGGAACTTTCAACCTCTCATTAGAAAGGGATGAGAGATACTACTTGAGTTCTGGTTTGATAACCCAACTTCACTGTACCAAATTCTGGTTGTACAACCTGCAGTTGCACAATAAGAGCTATAGATAATCTGTTTGACAGAGTTCGATAGCAACCCTATAAATGATCTTTCAGCTGTTCTGTATGCATGCTAAAGTAAAAGCATTCAATACACTATGATGACTCCAACATGCTTCTCAACATGTTGTTTTCTGGAAAAGAATAAGAAAGAAATAGAAAACAACAGTCTGTTTTTGTTTTTAAAATGAAGTTCAAACAAACATAGCTTTCCTTTTCCAGTTCTTTATCTTTGTCATTTTTGTTAGAAGTTTTATATATATGTTAGGTCATTATGTAATTATATTTAGTTGATATGACCCTTGTGTTATTATGCAAGACTTGTACCCTTATATATAAGCCTACACAGGCTTATTAGGTTAGGATATTGAAATACAGTGAATATGTTTTTGCTCTCTCTCTCGTTTCTGAACATGGCATCAGAGCAATATGATTATAGGTGTGAGAATCAGTAGTTGGGTTGTTCTTGTAAGAGTCAGTAAGATCTGAATCACGATCGGAATCACGATTGTGATTTTGGTGTCTCTGCCGGCAACTCCTCATTCGTCATCATCGGCAATTCCTCGTCCACCGTAGTCAGATCTGTAGCCTCGTTCGTCGTCATCAGATCTGAGGCTTGTTCGTCGCCAGATCTGCCTTCTTCGTCATCGTCGGTAGCTCCTCTTTGGTTGTTAGTGAGCTTGCCGACATCTGTCGTCTTGATTTGCAGAGGTAAGGTTGTTTTTTTTTTTTGGCCGGAAGTTGCAGCGGTCGCTGCTTGTTGATTCGGCCGCTGCTTGTGATTGGGTTGCC